ATTCTGTGCTTGTGTGTTGCGACTTAGTGGTGCATGGAGGAATGGTTGGTGGGTGTAATCGTATGGATGGGTGAAGCAGGGAGAAGCAACTTGATGCTTCTTGCAGTGACCGTGTGATTCCAGTGGAATGCGCATGCTTACTTGGTCAGCAGAGGAGGGGTGAAGCAAGGAGAAGTGGTGAGCAGGTGTGTGTGGTGGAAAATCATCATCAGGTTTGTTTGTATAATGATCCTCATCAGCTGATGCTCTTTGTTTCATTATCTCCAGCTTCAAGAATTTTCATTTCTGTTTGGAAACGCACTTCTTGCTCAAGTTAATGTTGCCCTGCCATTCTAGTCTGCAGGGGATTTTTTTCAGTCTCCCCTCACGGCCTGCCCTCATTCAAAAGAACTTAGGTAATACGAGATTGCCTTGTCTCCGCGTTTTCGTAACAAATCATTTTTTCGTCCTCCCCACACCCTCTCTCGTATGCATCCATAATGCTCTGCTCTCATCCCTGATTGCTCTTTCAAATCTGATGCTTGGAAATCATGTAGAGGGATACCTGAAAGCATATGTCGTGGAGCCTGATAATATTGTTTTCATTACATATGCTCTCATTCCTCGCTTTCAGGAGGCACATCTTGCTTACATATGTTTCTTAAGAACAATATGATTTCATTCAGTATCTCGTGCCAAATTCATCTGCTCATCATGCTTTCCAGCCCTTGCCAATTTCATCAAGTCACAAACCTATCCGTATGTTGTTCTAATGTGACCAGCTTCTGATGTTAACTTGCAGCAGCAGCTCATGCCAGTTCAATCAACGCCTGATGGTTCCAGTACCTATTCCAGGTTCACCTGCTCATGATGCTATCAGATCAGCATTTCATGGCACCTTCACCAGCTGATGGTGCATTCATTACTGCCTCCTCTTCAGCATCTCACGGCAGTCTCTTCAGCTGATGATCCCATCAGCATTTCATTCCGAGTTCTTCACTTCACGATGATCTCGTGGCATTTTCAGTTGCTCCTGGTGAGTGCAGTAACCCATGCTGAATCCATCAGCGCATGGTGCTTGCTGGTTGCAGTTGAGTATGTCTGCAACCAAACTCACCTGCTCATGTTGCTTGCAGCATGTCATGACGGATTCTTCAGCCGATGATGCTAGTACCGTTATTTAGTTCCTGTACATATGAGCATCTGTTGTGTTACTCATTCATGCAGATTTCCACTTGTGCCCATGCCCAACACGCTCATCAGATGCCATCTTTGCTAACATCTGGAGTTATTTGTACCTGCGTACGTTATTGGCACCATACCCAACCACCCATGTTCTGTTTGAATTTTGCATCCCAAGCTCCTAAAGTTAAGCGTGATGAGTTTGTTTGAACCCTATAATATTGAGAAAGCTTGCTTTCTTATTCTTATCAATTGGCATCGTTCTCATTACAAATGGGGTCTCTGAGACATGGGCAGCGGGGGCCTCCGGTTGCGTACGAGTGCCTCTGAGTGTTGTGCCGACGACGCTGCATGCGTCAGGTCTTGTAGGTTACGGGAGGCTTCGATAAGAGGCTCGACGTATGGTGTAACATACATTTCCTTTGCTGAGTCGCTTCGCCATCTGCCCAGCCGTTTGAAGACCCTGTCTGGCACGCCCGTGTTGGCTGCTACTGTGGCTGCACCTTTTCGGAAAGAATGTGTGCCGAGCTGCAGGTCTCCAAGGCCCAATTTTGCGAAGGCTTCCTTGCACCAGTTCCGGATCGTGGTGTATGAGGGTGGCCTTGCTTGGCCCTCGCTGGTTGAAGCGTGGCCGAAGACCCGAATCAATGGTCCCTCTGACTGTGGGCCATAGCCGGCTAGTTGGATGAAGCGTCGGGTGCAGCACACTGGGCAACAAGGGTCTGTCGTTGCTGCAATGGGAATCCAAGTGCCATGACCAGCCTGATCGGTCTTGGAGTGTGGTATGAGAATCCACATGACCTCGTCGTCGAATTGGATGTCTTGCCATTTTATGGCTGCCAGGTCCGAATATCGCAGGAATCCTGAGTACATGAGGATGGGGATCAACCCTTTCTGAAACGTCGCTGGATCGTCGGACTGCAAGTAACTCGCGGCCATGTCCCGGACTTGTTGGATCGATACGGGTTCCTTCATACGAGTAGGGCGAGGGCAGTGTCGTTTTGCACAGTCACGGACTTGGGTGGTGAACGGTCCGGTTGTCGGGCATTTGCTCCCGGTCATGCGATGAGCGAAGCTGACCGCCAAGCACGTCAGCTGCACTACGGACAGGGTGGCTTTGCGTCGGATTGCGTGTACCAGGTAGAGCGCGAGGGTCATGTCGGATGCCGGAAGAAATGGGAGGTTCACTTTTGTGCATAAGGCTCGAAACTTGGCCCAGTATGGTTCGTATGTCCGGATCGTAGAATCGGCGCGAGATTGCGCGAGCATGTTGATCATTTGGTCGTGTAACTTTGGGAGCAAATCTGAACACAGGGCGTTGATGTTTTGAATTAGTCAAATGCCATTCTCAGTGCAATAATTGGGCTGTGCGGTAGTCCCATGCCTGAGAAAGCATTGGAATGGGACCCTGCGTCTAGGCATTGGCTTCCGTGTGTCAGAGGGATGTGCGCGTGGATGTGTGGAGCCCAAGTGCATGGGGAGGGTTGCAAAAGTGGCCACCAGCTTGCGCCTGGCCAGTGCGGAACTATCAGTGTGAGTGATGCATGGGTGCGTTGTGCGTGATGGAGGACGGCTGGGACCAGTTGGAGCGGGGGGAAGGCGAAGTTGTTTTCGGGTGTCCACGCGATCGAGAACGCATCAACTGCGATAGCTTCTGGGTGGGGAATCTTTGTGCAGAAGCGCGGCAGTTGGGTGTTGCGGGAGTTTGCGAAGAGGTCGATGGAGTGGGGCCCCCAACGACGTTCCAAGATGCGGAACCACGGCGTTTCCAGCGCGTAATCGTCGTGGTCGACCATTTTTGAAAGTTCGTCGGCGTGTGTATTGAGCTCGCGCGGAATCCATTCGATGATCAAGCGCGTGCCAAGCTCCATGCATGTTCGGGGCTGTGAGAGCCGCCTTTTCGAAGGATGAAGAACACGCCCTGGTTGTCCACCCGCACGAGAACGTGTTTTTGCTTGATGTTGGTCGCGTATGTTTGGAGCGCCCAAAGGACGCCTTCGATCTCGCGTCGCGTGCTGGACGTTCCTTGTAGCGGCTCTGACATGGTTGCGCTAGCTTCTTCGAGTCCGCCCGGAAATGTGGTCAGAGTGGCGCCCCATCCATGAGAGCTGGCATCCACATGGATTACTGCGTCGTAGCTGTTCCTGACGTGAAAAGGTGCGCCGTTGAAACGGTCAAATTCCTCGAGCCAAAATTGGAGCTCCTCTGCTGCAGATGGGGGGATAACCACGCTGCTTTTCCATGACGGTGCTTCGTTGATCACTTGTAACATAGCGTGGCTGAATGCGCGAGCGGTCGCGCCAAGTGCGACACCCATCGATGCAAGCATGCCAGTGATTCTGGCCACGTGGCGGACCGGGGCTGGTCGGCATGCCCTGCTTGCGCTCAGGAGGTTCCGGATGGTTGCATGTAGTGAGGCTCGTCGGTCGGGACCGATGGAGAATCGGCCGGTGTCGGTCTCCAGTTCTACGCCCAGGAATCGGAGATGTTGCGATGGTGACAGTTGTGATTTCTTCGCGTTTATCACAAGGCCTGCCTCTTTGAGGTCCAATATCACCTGCTGGCAGATTGCTTGCGCATCGGCTTTCGACTGGCAGAGGAATAAGATGTCATCCAAGTAAGGTACGACTCGGATGCCTTGTTCTCGCCAACGCCGAGCTAGTTGCTTGATGAGTTGTGTAAAGACGAATGGAGCCGTCGCGAGGCCGAATGGTAGTGAACGAAATGCGTATGTGCGCCTATCGAATTCGAAGCCAAGGAACTTCCAGCACGATGGGTGGATGTCGATGTGATGGTAACCGGATTTGAGGTCAATGGAGAACATCCAGTCCCCAACGCGCGCCAGGTCAGTGACACGGCTGAGCCCCTCGTACTTGAACTTGGGGACAATCAAGTTAGCGTTGACCTTTCTCAGATCAAGAATGAATTTTGCATCCCAAGCTCCTGAAGTTGAGCGTGATGAGTTTGTTTGAACCCTTAATTTACAATACTTGCTGTGCATTACAAATGGAGGCACGCTCCGCACGCAACCCACAAGCCCTTCAATATGGATGAAGAAACCCAATCTTTATTCAAACGCTCTGTCCAGCTGATACTCTGTAAAGAATCTCACGATTTGAGAGTACACATCCATAACAACAGAAGTGGCGAACAGGAAATCCAGGTGTGCATAATGTGGAATGTAGAGCACCTCAGGTCGTCGTGCCAGCTTGGAAATGAGCCATTCCACGTCAGCAGGCACTGCTAGGGAGTCTCTGCCACCATACGCTATAGCGAGTCGTGTAGTAGAGGGGAAATCAGAGGCACGAAAGAACGGCGGTGTGCTTTGGTGGTATCGCAGCCAGTTCTTAATGAATCCGTAGTCAAACTGCTTCCACTCTCCCGAGCGAACCACTGGCAAGGAAAGAATCAGGTGAGAGATTGGACACAGGGTAATGAGGAAGAAGAAAAACAAGCAGCAAATTATGGAATCAGGAAAAACGAATCTGCAGGAAGGATGTATAGAGAGGATCAGGGTTCAGATAGTGAAAAGACTCTGATGGGAACATGGGGTTGTCAGGAAGGCACTTTGAGTAAAGGAGCGGTAACTTGAAATTGAGAAGATTCTGACACAAAGGCATCTAAAGAAAGTACACTGCGTGCATGTGAAAGGAAAGAAAATAAAAAGAAGCCATGCGCCGGTGCTTACTCTGGCCGAAATGCGCCATGTTCTTGACAGAGGATGCAAGAGGGAACCAGGGAACAAGCTTGGCAAAGTATCGAATGTCAATGCAGCAGTTGGGGCCTGTGCAGTGAAGGCGAGTGCATTGGAAAGAAGAATGTAACTGGAACGAGGTTACCAATGATGCGAGAGGGAACCATGGAACAAGCTTGGCAAAGTGCTGGATGTCAATGCAGCAGTTGGGACCTGTGCGTGGAAGGGTGAGTGCAATTGGACAGAAACGGAAGGTCAGTGCAATGGAGAGAAGAAGGTCAGTGCAACAAACTGAAGAGGAAGGTCACTCAACGAGCTGAAACTGGTATTGTTGGAAAAAGAAACAGCAGAGTTTGTTGAAGGAAGACTGTATGGTCTTTGAACAGAGCAACGATTTCAAAGCAACAAAGACGAATATCTTGAGCAACTGAGACAGTTTCGAAACTTCATATTCTTCAAATCTGAAATCTAAAGCGACTTTGCCATGTGAACAAAATCATGCAACGAAAGCAAGAGGCGTGGATATGATGACACCAGTACTCAGCTGCTCAGGACGTGAGGTGGTGGGGTGGCGAGGTGGTGAGTTAATGGGGTGGTGGTGAGGTGGTGGCGAGGTGGTGAGTTAATGGGGTGGTGGTGAGGTGGTGGGGTGCATGCCTGTGAATGCGGAGAGCAGGGAGGAGCAGTTGATACGAGGAGAGGCGCAGGCACTGGCAACCACCAGCTCGCCCAGGGCACTGCCCACAGTCACAGGCACGTAGAGTGGCGCACATTGAGAGGTCCATGATAAGAGGTCATGGGAGAGTGGCACAGTGACAGCAACAACCAGTCATGTGAGGCGCAACCACCAGCTCAACCATCGCACTGCCCACAAGAAGGGGAGGCACAAGAGGGGCATGCGAGGTCGCGCGCTGCTAAGTGAGTTGCACATGGAGGAGTGCCATGTGGAGAGGTGCCACGTGGAGAGGTGCCACGTGGAGAGGTGCATGCAGCACTCCCCTTGCAGCACTCCCCTTGCAGCACTCCCCTCGCAGCACTCCCCTCGCAGCACTCCCCTCGCAGCACTCCCCTCGCAGCACTCACTTGCGCAGGCTGAACTCGTGCAGGCGCGTTGCTCTCACCAGCTGGAGGAGATGGAAGAGAGGGGGAGGAGAGAGGGGCGGAGAGGGGGAGGGAGAAGGAGAACGGCGAGAGAAGGGCGACGTAGAGGGGCGAGGAGAAGGGAGAGCTGACGAGGGAGGAGAGATGAGGAGCAGCGGGGAGAGGATAGATGAGGAGCAGCGGGGAGAGGAGAGAGTGTGGAAGCGCTCCAGTGTTGGCATAGAGGGTGGAAGAGACATGATGCATGCAGATGACCTTTTTGTGAGGTACGAAAGTATGAGCTGAGATGTGGGTACAAGAGTACGAGAATTGAATGTGGGTGACACCTGGGTATGCCCGAGGGAGAAAAGAATGAATACTGGGAATCCAAGAGGTTTCAATCACAAAAGTGAGGTGTCAATTTAGTATAGTTCTGAAGGTTTGAACTGCTTACCCGATCTAAATCAAGCTTGGCTGCCTCGTGGGCGATGGGTGAAGAGAGGTGTGCCAGGGAGGTAACAGGGGCGAGAAGGAACGCAGCAGCGATGGTGGCGGGTGGCAGGTAACCCGCAGTGAGGGCGGAGAGGAAGGTGAGCGTGCCCTGAGAGGAGAAGAGAGAAGGAACGGTGGGGAAAGAAGGGGGAAGAAGGGGAAGAACGGGAAAGAAGCAAGAGGAATGAAGAATGGAGTGGACGGTGATCGGGCAGGAAGTGACATGGTGAGGAGAACGAAGAAGAGAGAAGTGAGAAACATGACAAGCACAGAAGCACACCAGCTCAGAGGACCAGTCACACAGCAACACAACAGCACACGGTGGCACAGCAAGTTTTGAGGCGTGTCAAAACTTGACGGGGTGAGGAGAATGAAGAAGAGAGAGGCAAGAAACATGGCAATGAAGTGGGCATGAAGTGGGCATGAAGTGGCAATGTGCGGGTGCACAGAAGCAGGTTATTGTGAATTCTCAAAAACCATGAAGTGGCGATGTGCTGGTGCACAGAAGCACACCAGCACAGAGGACCAGTCACACGGCAGCACAACGGCATACGGTGGCACAGCAGCGTGAGGAAGGTGGGTGGAACTGGAAAGGAGATGCACGCACCTGTGAGTGCCCCACGTAGAACATCCCCCCCCGTGTAGTCGATGCGACTCTTGAGTCAACTCATAAGTCACCTCCTTCCAATCGCACACGGCGCACCTGCAAGGAGCAAGGGACGCACCTGCAAGGAGCAAGGGACGCACCTGCAAGGAGCAAGGGAAGGGACGCACCTGCAAGGAGCAAGGGACGCACCTGCAAGGAGCAAGGGACGCACCTGCAAGGAGCAAGGGAAGGGACGCACCTGCAAGGAGCAAGGGACGCACCTGCAAGGGGCAAGGGACGCACCTGCAAGGGGCAAGGGACGCACCTGCAAGGGGCAAGGGACGCACCTGCGAGTGGCCCACGTAGAACACCTGCCTCGCTCCCGTGTGAGAGGCTGCCAGGATGTGGTCTATCTGCGCTGGCAGGTCGTGGCGTGCCATGTCCGCCCACGTCCACTCCCAGTATTCCTGCACACATAGAATGAAAGGGGGCGCGCATGTGTGCGCGTGCACAAAAAATGGCATGAGATGGCATGAGATGGCAGGTCAGGTAACTGAACTGGCAGGTCATGGCGTGCCATGTCTACCCACGTCCACTCCCAGTACTCCTGCATGGAATGAGGGGGGGCGTGCAAGGAGTGCAATGGCATGGGCTGAGACCATGCCTATTACGAAGTTCTCAACTCGCAGGGCTCTCAACTCGCAGGGCTCTCAACTCGCAGGGCTCTCAACTCGCAGGGCTCTCAACTCGCAGGCCCGCTGTTGCGGCGCCTCAAACATTGAACCTCTCCTCCCTGCCCCTCCTTTCCACGCCCTTCCCCCCTCTTCTCATCCCCACCTTATCCTTGGGCTGCCATCTTGTGTGTCCGTAGCTCCACGGCCCGCACCTGCTGTTGCCGAGCCACACCTCGAACCCGAGCCTGGCAAGCAGGAACGGCAGGGAGATGCCGGGAGGGCCCACAACCCAGCTCTCGGCTCCCTGGCAAGTGGGGTGGGTGGGGAAAGAAGTGATGGTATGTGGTAAACACCTAACTTCTGAGGCGCCTCAACATATGTTGGATGGGAATTACGCAGCTAGGATGAGAGACTGATGGAGCATGCACTGGTTTGGTGGAGAGGAGGGGGAGGGAAGCGCACCGTGAGTGTGAACGTGATGCGGATGATGTGTGTGTGATGGAGAGAGGAGATTTGTGGTGAGGTGATAAGGGGACGTGCAAAGGCAAGGTGAGGGCATGTGGAAAAGGCAAGGACGTGCAAAGGCAAGGTGTGGTAACATTCATCTACTCCTGATTCTTCAGGACGAACCAGGAACAGCCCATGCTGTAGCAGCACCGGCCCTCGAGAAACGCCCCTCCCGTTCCCCCCGCTCGTTTTATTCACATCAGAATCAGCTCCACTTGCATCGAACTGGCGACTCGTCACACGCTGAAGGCCTAAAACGAAGCCATCACGTGTTACCACCTGCCACTCACAACGAAGTGATAGCGTATCATTATCAGGACTGTCCAAAACTCCAGAGGGGAATCATTAGATATGATAATATTGTAAGCCATTATCCATGTGTACACGGATTTCAAGTAGCTACAGTTCTCAGGTATGAATCCGAGGAGAACGGATATTGTACGGCAGACCGGCAGGTGAGAAACTTGATATGCGAAGCCGGAACAAATTCTAGAGGGAATTTTTCTCAGAGACCTTGCAAGAACAATCAATGAAACCAAGTTCCTGCTGCACGAATTACCTCAGCAATTTATGACAAATAACCTTCGCAAGACCGTCCTTCTCGTTACTCTCACACGGTTGAGAGAAATTCCTCGTACAACGAGCGTTCGTTACACTCACACGGTGATCCTCGCACGTGAAGCCGTGCGGCTCCACCAACTTGCGGCACACGCGCGAAGCATCATCGTCTCCTGGTGAATCTGAGAAATATTTTGAACGGTCAGGATCTTGAGATGCAGCTTTAGTGGCGCGGGATGAATGGTCATCGTCGGCGGTTGATGTAATACAGGAGACCCTCGAGATTGACGACAGAGCGAGAACTGAGAGGAGAATAAGCGGAACGAGTCGCGTGGTCCGCGGAAGGAGAAGACGAACGCGACAAAACTGCGAAACGGTTCTCAGCGAGTGGAAGCAGGAGAGGAGCGCCATGTGTGGTTTCTGTCAAATTCCTTTACCACCTCCTAATCTTTTGAGTGAAGTTTCTGCACGTACTTTGTAAACTGCCTGGGGGGTTGGAAAGCGTCTGAGCTGCCGCAATGACACAATTGTACTCGTTATGTCTGATGCGATAACAGCACAAACAGCAACCCAACAGTCGTGATAGGCTACCTTGTTTGAGAGGTTTGAGACGGTATGCAGCCGTTACACTACGGTTCCTGCCAACAAACCTTGAGAAAAGTTTGGCGCCGACGAAGGCTCGTTACTAGCTTCTTCGGAAACAGAATCGATCAAGCGTCATGTGGAATGCGAATGAACAACACTGTCGAAACTATCCGCATTTTCCATTTTCCGTTTTCCGATCAACGCCAAACCTGGAAAGCCTAGGGTTTCAAACTGAAACGAACCAATCAAAATGCACCATTACAATATCCGCTCCTTGGAATTATCTTCACCATCTTCACCCCTTCTCTTCATCTCTCTAATCTAGCTGAGAGCATTTCTGCCTCAAGCGAACATTTGTTTCTCCTAACTGGCTCTAGAGTGGCACAATCCCGCTCGAATTACAATTGATAACTCCGTCAACCAAGCTCGCAATATTGATTGTCGCTGGCCAATATCTTCGTGCCACCTGTGCAGCCATTAGTGCCATTATTTCCGACTATCCGCCTTTCTGTAGATCCTAACATCTACTGCTAAGAGCATTTTTTTTTGGAAAGTTGATATTTTGGGAACTAGGTTGTTGCAAAGATGCACTGGGAGAAAATAGAGATAAAGGTAAAGCGTCAAGAGCCCATCCCAGGCAAATCGCCGGGGAGGAAAGGTGGAAAGCACGGACCAGGGAGGAAATGGGGTCATACGCTAAATGCCGTCAACTATGGTCGTCAGGTGTACGTGTTCGGAGGCTATGGCAAGGACGAGCGGCAGACGAACGACGTCTACGTGTACAACACAAGTACGATCATCGTGAAGTCGTCTTTCCGGTCTAGCTTCCTCGCGTCGTGTTTTTATGTTTTTTTCCAAGGACTCGTCTTAGGAGCAAATCTTCCATTGCAATGCGGGGAGGCTCGATCGTTACGAGATCATTACAATGCGGGCAGGCAGAGGCGTTCACGCGATCACGACGACGCGGGGAGGCTGGAGTATAACGGGATGGTTAGGATGCGGGAATGCAGAGGCGTTAACTGGATCGTGACAATGCGGAAATGCAGAGGCGTTAACCGGATCGTGGCAATGCGGGAATGCAGAGGCAGGATCGTAACAATGCGGGACTTCGGACTCAGGTGTTACGACGAGATCATGACAAAGTGTTTCCTGGCCTTTTCGCAGACGTTTTGTGTTCGTTCATGACCCCGTGCTTTAGGCCACGCGACGGTATAAACTGCCTCATATAGACGTTTTCCCTCGGCGACATTTGCTGTTCCAAGGTCGGCCCAACTTCCTCTCGTAGTATGCGTTGTCGAGTCAACCGCGTTACTTCGTGCTCCTGCGTGGTATTTCCCTGTTCCCTTTCCCTTTCGAAATCTCCGTGACAGTCGCGGCCGGGCTGGTGGCTATGTCTGTCTGTCATGGCCTTTTGGTATTCTCTAGCGTGGAGCAAGCGGAAGATAAAGGGTTCTCTGCCTTTGCGTCGCAAGAGTTTTGAGGCGTCTCAACACGCGTCAATCATGCTCGCCATTCCCTCCCGCTCCCCTTTTCCCCTTCCCTTTCTGTCCGGGACTCGCGGCCAAGGACGCGTGGAGCAAGCCGAACATCAAGGGCACGCCGCCGTCGCCTCGCGACAGTTATGAGCCGGCTCAACACCCATCGTTCACTCCCTCTTGCCATTCCCTCCATCCACCCTTGATTCTGTCCAGCCAAGGACGCGTGGAGCAAGCCAAACATCAAGGGCACGCCGCCGTCGCCGCGCGACAGCCACACGAGCACGGTGGTGGGCAGCAGGCTGTTCGTCTTCGGTGGCACGGATGGGTCGTCGGGGCTCAACGACCTTTACATGCTCGATACCTGTGAGTGCCACTCCTTGGCGACTTGTTGGCGATTTGATGGCGACAAATGTGGCGGCTCTGTACGGACAGCCACACGAGCACATTGGTGGGCAGCAGGCTGTTCGTCTTCAGTGGCACGGGTGAGCCGGGCTCGGATGGGTCGTCGGGGCTCAACGACCTCTACATGCTCGACACCCGTGAGTGCCACTCCTTGGCGACTTGATGGCAACAAATTCCTCTGCTGGCACGGCCATCGTTAGGGCGCAACGTCGTCGGCATGGTTGACACCTGAGAGACCCTTGTCTCTGCGCCAAATGCCGGGCCGTCGAGTGTATACGCATGGATAGATGGTCAAGAGAAGTTCCAAGAAAATTGTCAGGGCAATCCAAGGGCAATCAATCTCAGGCCATTTCCAAACCATTTCAAGCGCAGCCGCACTTCTGTGTGTCATGCACATCCATTTTGCTTGTACTGCAGTTTCCCGTCTGCTTCAATCCCGTCATCCTTGCAGCCCTGTCCCTCTCTCCGTCGTCCGACCCCCCTTAATTCATGTGCACCTTTTTCCTCCCATCGCCCGCCCCCCGTTCCCCTGTCCCCGCCCCTTCCCCCTCTCATTCCTCGCAGCAACCAACACGTGGTCGCGGCTAGCGGCGCAGGGGGACGTGCCAGCAGCACGCGAGGGGCCTTAAGATGTCCCGTTCTCACCCCCCTCCCCCGTTCCCCCTTCCCCCCTCACCCCCCTCCCTCGCAGCAACCAACACGTGGACACGGCTGGCGGCGCAGGGGGACGTGCCAGCAGCGCGAGAGGGGCATGCAGCAGCGCGGGTGGAGGGGCTGGTGTACGTGTTCGGGGGGTGTGGCAAGGCGGGCGAGGGGGGTATGGTGGACGAGACGTATTACAACGACGTGCATGTGTTCAACCCTGGTGAGTGCAGGTCAGGAGGGCTGAGATGAGATAGGGCGGCTGCATGGAAGGGGCATGCAGCAGCGCGGGTGGAGGGGCTGGTGTAAGTGTTCGGGTGATGTGGTGTGGCAAGGCGGGCGAGGGGGGGACAGTGGATGAGACGTATTACAACGACGTTCATGTGTTCAACCCTGGTGAGTGCAGGTCAGCACAGCGGCTGACTGACTGATAGTGTGGCCGGACACAACTGAAACACAGGAGTGCGAGTGGAAGGCTTGGTGCGTAGTTATGTCGCGTTTGGTGCTGGAGTGTAAGACTTATCAGCTCAAGCTTTCTCTTCTTACGATGGTGTGGTGTGAGTTCGATCAGTCTCTTTCTTCCATGTTGTGTGCGTTCATGTGTCTGTGTGTGTGTGTGTTTAGCGTGTGCTTGTGCGTGTACATGTGTTTCCGTGTGTTGGTGAATATGTCGTGCACATGTGTGTTTGTGCATGTACTTTGCATGTGCTTGCATGTGCTTGCATGTGAGCCGTGCAGACACGATGCGGTGGGCGAGGGTGGCAACAACAGGCACAGCGCCATCACCGAGGGACAGCCACAGCTGCTGCGCGTGGGGCAACCAGCTGATTGTGTTTGGCGGGGAGGACTCGCGCAACTGCTACCTCAGTGACGTCTTTGTGCTCGACACCAGTGAGTGGATGAAGGGATGAAGGGATGATGGGATGATGGGATGATGGGATGATGGGATGAAGGGATGAAGGGATGATGGGATGATGGGATGATGGGATGAAGGGATGAAGGGATGAAGGGACTGGATCTGACTGACACCAGTGGATGTTCGTCCTCCACATCACATCAGCGAGGCATTGCCCTTGACATCATCAGTGTGTCTTGTCCTCAGCGTCAATCAGCCCTGGAGACCACTTGGTGTTTCATTGGCCCGTGAGTGGAAGTAAGGCAAGGCAACAAATGAATGAGTGTCGTCCTTTGACTCCAGCGTTCATCTCTATGCCCTTGGTCGCTTTCCATGCCACGCTGTCTTCCAGGCTCGTTGGTAGGGAGGGAGGTGAGGGCGAGGGGACAGAAGCCTTTGCCCTGAACGGGGGGATGTGACAGCAGGGCAGGCAATGCATGTTGGTGTTTGGAGCCAGCACTGCTGACTCTCAATCCAGTGTACCACAATCTCGTTTTCCCCTCCTTACCCCCTCTTGTGGTGTGGAGAGAGGGAGGTGAGGGCGAGGGGACAGAAACCCTTTCCCCATGCAAGCAGTGCATGTGGCGGTGACAGCAGGGCGCTACATGGTGGTGTTTGGGGGCTTCACAGTCAGTTTAGCACAATCGCTTTCCCCCCTCCTCTCCCTACCCTTCCTAGGCTCGCTGGTGTGGAGGGAGGTGAGGGCGAGGGGGCAGAAGCCTCTACCACGAGCGGGGCATGTGGCGGTGACAGCAGGGCGCTACATGGTGGTGTTTGGGGGCTTCACGGATGAGCGCCGCCTCTTCAACGACCTGCATGTGCTCGACCTCTGTATGCTCGCCTTCTATCTTGTATGCTCGGCACGGTTGCTTATCTGCTTGCTTGTCACAGTAGCAACAACAGTAGTGGGCCCCCTTTTCGCTTGATCAATTGGTTAGTCTTGTGAATACGCACGTCATGTAATCCAGTCACCTCCCCCTTCCCGCCCGCTCCCTGCTTTTTTGCTTGCTTGTTCTCCTCTTCTCATCTGCAGCTCTCATGCCTTGTCTTGTCACCATCCCACTTCATTCGGCTGGATGTATTTTCACTCCAATACACCCCATTCCTCCTCCCTGCCCGCGTCTCCTCCGCCATCGGAGCACTGGCAGCAGTACACGTTCACAGGGGTCTCTTCACTCCAATCATCCACCATTGCCCATTCCGTTTCTTCCTCCCTTCCATCCCCCCCCCCCTGTGCTCCTTTTTACCCTCCGCCAGCATCGGAGCACTGGCAGCAGTACACGTTCACAGGGGTCTCTTCACTCCAATCATCCACCATTGCCCATTCCGTTTCTTCCTCCCTTCCATCCCTCCCCCGCTCCGCTCCTTTTTACCCTCCGCCAGCATCGGAGCACTGGCAGCAGTACACGCCCACAGGAGACGTGCCTTCACGGCGCTTCTCCCTGTCAGCCGACCTGCTGGACACAGTGTCGGGCAAGATGATGCTCTTTGGGGGTTGCAACGACGATTTGGAGGCTCTAGAAGATGCCTACTTCCTGCATACAGGTGAGAGGCAGCAGCATACACACAAGGAAGCGTGCGCTTAGTGCTGACCTGCTGGACACAGTGTCGGGAAAAATGATGCTCTTTGGGGGCTGCAACGACGATTTGGAAGCGCTGGAAGATGCTTATTTCTTGCATTCAGGTACGGGCGCTCACAGGTGCGATACAGTAAGCACACAGGGACGCGTGTGTTTAGGGCTGACCTGCTGGACCGTACAGTGTCGGGCAAAATGATGCTCTTCGGGGGCGGTAACGACGACCTGGAGGCTCTGGATTCCGGAAGATGCTTATTTCCTCCACACAGGTAGCCGGATGCTGTAGGGGAATCAATTCAGTCCTTAGAGCTGACCTGCTGGACCTTATGTCGGGCAAACTTGTGCTCTTGGGGGGCTGCAACCATGGCTTGGAGGGACTGGACGATTTTTATTTCTCACGCACAGGTATAGCTTGCATACAGGTATAAGGACGGCGTCAACACCTTCTCTCAATCCTCACATGGTAGCCTGCCCGCCCTCCTCTCTCCCTTTGCGCCCGCTACTCTTCCTCCCGCACCTTTCCCCCCCGCCCACCCCCAGATTTCGGGTCGCATGCAGTGGAGTTCCCCCGGCCGCACGTGCGGCGACGGCCCTTTGACTCCATGCCCATGCCCATGGACGCACGCATGGGCATGGACCCTCGCATGGCTGTAGAGGGCGGGGGCACACCCATAAGCGTGCGCACCCGGGTGCGGCTGGGAGGGGTTACAGGGAGGGCGTACTTGCTTCCTCTGATACTCCTCTCCTCTCACAGTAGTCTGCCGCCCCTTGTGTGTCTGTGTGCTGTTCCCCCCCTCCCTCCCCCCCCCCACGCCCTTCGCAGATTTCGGGTCGCATGCAGTGGAGTTCCCCCGGCCGCGCGTGCGGCGGCGGTCCTTCGACTCCATGCCCATGCCCATGGATGCTCGCATGGGCATGGATGGTCGCATGGCCATGGACGCTGGCGTGGGCATGGGGGCTGGAGGGACGCCCATGGGCATGCGCGGCAAGAGGGGGGAGAGTGGAGAGGGCGCGTGGGGGCGGGGCGCGGAGGGTGTGTATGAGGCGGGCGGCATGGATGATGACGATGGGTATACGCCCCCTGCCAGACGCATGCGAGGCATGAGATGGGATGGGATGGGATGGGATGGGATGGGATGGGATGGGATGGGATGGGATGGGATGGGATGGGATGGGATGGGATGGGATGGGATGGGATGGGATGGGATGGGATGGGATGGGATGGGATGGGGTGGGATGGGATGGGATGGGATGGGATGGGATGGGGTGGGATGGGATGGGATGGGGTGGGATGGGATGGGATGGGTTGGGATAGGATGGGGTGGGATGGGATGGGGTGGGGTGGGATGGGATGGGATGGGGAGGGATGGGATGGGATGGGATGGGATGGGATGGGATGGGATGGGATGGGATGGGATGGGATGGGATGGGATGGGATGGGATGGGATGGGATGGGATGGGATGGGATGGGATGTCATGCAGCTCTCAGTGCATTCATGGTCCAATGAAGGGACGTGGATGTCATGGCCTGGGATGACTCTTTCGTGCCTACCTCCTGGGTTTCTGAACATGTGCTTATGCTCCCAACTTCCTGCAATCACGCCCCGCATTTTCCCCCACCACATGTCCTCTCTTTCCCCCACATCCTGTCTCCATGTTCCTCCCTTCCAGTCCCACAAGTCTCACCAGCCTTGCCGCCCGGGCTGCACCCAGCGGACCTGATAGCGCCGGCGGGCAGGGAGGTGCCGTTTGAGGCGCAGATAGTCGACGTCTTCCACCTCGGCTACTGCCTGCGTGCCACCGTCGCCGGTAGACCACTGCACGGGCTGCTCTTCTCCTACGACCCTTCATTTGCTCAAGCTGCCCTCGCACGCCAGGCCCAGTGAGTGATACCATGATAAGTGGTCCTCGCGTCTTCTACCTTGGCTACTTCCCGCGCGGGCCACTGTTGCCGGTCGTCCCCTGCACGGGCTGCTCTTCTCCTACGACCCCTCATTTGCTCGAGCTGCCCTTGCACGCCAGGCACAGTAAGTAACACGCGCCTTTCCTGGGCTAGAAGTTTGAGATTGGGATAGCGGAATTAGTGCTGCTCCTCTCGTTTTCCCCCTCGGCTACTGCCGTCGCGCCACTGTGGCTGGTTACCCCTTGCACAGGCTGACGGCCCTTCCTTTGCTCAAGCTGCTCTGTCTCGGCAAGCCCAGTGAGTGATGTGTCTCACCCCTCCCTCTCAACGCCTCATCTCTCATCCTTCCCCACCCACTCCCCCCTCGTATCGTCCTCGATTCCCACCTTTGCCCCTCAATCCCCAGCCCCTCTCCCAATCTCACCCCCCCTCAGCCCACTTCCTTTCCCCCCCACCCCTCTCTCCCCCCCCCCCGTCCAAGCCCAAAAGACAAGCAGGTACACGGTCCTCCTGCCTGCCCCCGCTACCTCCACCGCAAATCATCCTTCCCCTACCACCACCCCTCACCCACCCCACTTCCTCTCAAACCTTTCCTTTCCTCTCACCCCTTTCCCCCCCCCGAGAACAGAAGGCAAGCAGGCACACGGTCATCCCGCCAGCCCCCGCCGCCTCCACCGCATCTCACCTTCTCTTCGGAAACCGGCACCCACACCATCACCGTTCCCGACCCCCACCGCCGGAGAACTTCTGCTGCTGCAGCAGCCACCGCTGCCGCTGCCAGTGCCACCGCTGCCGCTGCCAGTGCCACAGCTGCTGGTGCTAATACTGCTGCAGCGGGTGGTGCTGTTGGTGGGGCAGTGAGTGATGGTGCACTGACTGTGGTTACATCTCACGACGGAACTTTGACAGGCGCGGTTACATCTACGGCTGTAACACCGCCGACAGCAGCTACTGTGACACCAGCTGATGGGGGGTCAAGAGGAGGGGCGGCAGCAGGAGGAGGAGTAGGGGGATTAGTGGCAACAAGGGGAGATGTAGCAGGGGGAGGTGGTGCTGGGGTGGCTGCAGGGGCTTCGAGAGAAGCAGTGGCTACTGCTACACCAGCACGAGTGGCATCAACACCGGCAGCACCTGCAGCGACAGCAACAGCAACAGCAGCTTTAGCAGAAGCAGCGGGAGCAGAGATGCCACCACCGGCAGCTGCTGCAACAGTGGGAAATGGCGGTGCAGGAGCTGACAACTCTCAGCAGAATAATGGTGTGGTGCTGGCGCGAGGGCCGCAGGATGGTCTGGCACTGGCAGGGAATCAAGGGCACAGGGAAAGTGGGGGTCTAGGTGATGCCGGAAAAGTACAAGCAATGGCTAATGGAGGGTTAGCTAGGATGGATATTGATGTAGGTGGCGAAGTGGGCGAGGGTAAGGAAGAGGAGGAAGATGTGGATATCGTCTAAGCAAGATGTACTGTAGGCCTATGTATTTTGTGTTGAAATGTAATAGTAGATCTGTTTTCATTAGACTGGTGTTTTGACGCGATGTTACGAAATAGGCTCTGGGCCGTGAATCTGTCTTGTGATGTGATTCGACAGTCTTGAAGCAAATATCGCGCCACGTCAGTCCTTACGTCAACTATAACCATCACCAGAGAGTTCCTACATGCGAATCCTGACGAAAACCCTCCTTGAAGAAACATGATTCTCGTGACTCTCGTCTAACCAGCGAGAGGAGTCCTTGAAGTTACGTGAATGTCTGGTTACCTTGTTGATCTCGTCCGCTTCGCACGGCTTGTATGTTCCCAAGAGTGTGGGATTTCCCAGATGGACACGCACGCACCCTCTCTTCCGCCCTTCTACGCGTGGAACATTCTTCCGACCATCAAGCAGCTGGCCAGAATCCCGTTCCCTGATGGTACAACCGCCATGTCTAGGATGCGCAGCAGCTGCTCGTGTTCAGTGATGGTGACTAGCATCTTAGTGGGTTCGTATCTTATTTTGATTATGGGACATAAACCGTAAGACGACACGGCAATTTCCTCCGTCATTATAATCTGCCACGCTTCCCTCTGGAGAGACAAGGCGGATGAAGTTCAGGAGCTGACTGGAATTTCATTTTCATGTCTTTCTCATCTCCCTCAAGTGCTCATAAATATAAACAAGACCTGATCTTAGGCTCTTAAGGACCTGCCATTATTCAACTCAAACAAAGCCTGTAACCAGTCTGTATAGCAGCCTCGGGTATCAAACTTAAGCGCGGCATGCGCGCGACACCTTTCCTTACTGCTTCGCGCTCAAGCATGTCAGCTGCAACCTCAGCGCCGCTCCGCGCGTTCACCACACCGCACCGAACCGTACCGCTTTGCCGGCTTCCGTCGATTCCTCCATCCCTCGGAAATGGACTGTGCGGCTGTCCGCGCGCTGCGCTCCGCCAGTCACAGCAGCAGTCCTCGCCCCAACCGAAACGAAGTTTCCGCCATTCGCGAGGGCTTTCACCGAGCATCCGTCGAAATGGGTTATTTTCTGCACTTCCCTTTGCTCAGAAGGTTCAAAGATTAGGTGAGGAGGGGGGATCCGGAGGGATTTGGCACCGACCAGTACGTAGGAATGTCGCGGTTAGAGCCAAATCGCAGGGTAGTGACAATTCTGCTTCAAACGAGTCGGCTTCTAGCGAATCTGCTTCCACTGGTGCTAGCCGAGACAACGATGCTCTGCAAGTCCCGGGAAGGAGTCCCGGTTCGCCGAATCCGGCACCTAGATCCCGGCCGTCCGATTTGGACATCCCGTTCGATCCTGCGGTCGACGCAATGATTGCGTCGGAGATGGCGGGGAGGAAGAGCAACGACCCACCTCCACCAGCAGAAAATGAGGTAACTGTAATCGGAGTTATGAGAAATGAAATTATAGTAATTAGCACGCACTTGAGCCACACAAGGATGGTCATAATCACGTACAGTATTGAGCTTCGGAACCAGGCTCACCCCTCACGATTCCATTATCTGCCACGTGTTGCCCCCACCAATCGCAGAGACAAGCCACCCAGCTGGGCACGCTGCTGAAGCAGTTCGTCCGCGTGGCGGCACCCTATTGGTCGTCGGAGGACAAGGGCCAGGCACGGCTGCGGCTAGCTGCGGTGTTTGTGTTCGCGCTGGGCTGCACTGGCGTCTCCGTGCTTTTCAACTTCTTATATCGGGACTTTTACAACGCTATAGCGAGTATGTGCTCTTTGCGCTGGGCTGCACTGGCGTCTCCGTGCCCTTCACCTTATTATATATAGAATTCTACAACGCTATAGCGAGTATGTGCCTTTAACTTCCTGTTACCAATATTTCTACAATTCTATAGCGAGTATTTGATCTTCGTGTCGTTGCACATCGACTGATAAAGTGCTGTAGCGAGTACAGACTTGCCCTGCCAACTTCATCCCTGACTACCACCAAAGCTTCTTTCTTCCCTCTTTCTGCCACCAGCCCTCCCTGATTTCCCTGTCGCACTCTCCCTCTCTCTCTTTCCCTCTATGTTGTCCCCTTCCTTATCGCACCTTGCTCCCTTCCTTACCCCACCCCACCAGGCAAGGACGGTGAGGCCTTGTTGCAGCAGTCGGTGTGGTCCTCATGCTTGCTCCTCCCCCTCCCCTTCCGCTCCCCTCCCCCTTCCCTCGTATTGCCTCGTTCCCCCCCTCCCCTTCCGCTCCCCTCCCCCTTCCCTCGTATTGCCTCGTTCCCCCCCCTCCCATCCACCAGGCAAGGACGAGGAGGCCTTCCTGCGGCAGCTCTTGTGGTTTCTCGGAGCCACTGTGGGGGGTGTGCCGGTAGGTGCAGTGCAGCAGGGGGGTGTGCCGGTAGTGGGATAGTGCAAAGGGGGTGTGGTGGTAGGTGGAAAAGTGGGGCTGTGGTGGTAGGTGGAACAAAGGGGCTGTGGTGTGGGTAGATGATTGAGTGAGTGAGCGATAGAGGGGTGGTTGAGAGAGAGAGAGCACGATGGAGGGTGTTGTGTGGAGGGACTATATTAGAGTCCTTCTTTCTGCACTCGCAAGCACCCATCCCACATGTCGCACCGGGAACCCTCCCTTTCCACTGAGCTCAAATGTCAACCTGTCTCTAAGGCGCTCTAGGAATCATCACGCCCCAGGTGTCACACCGTCCCTTGCTTTGCTTTACATGGAGCACAAGCATTCCGTTCCTGCACCACTTCATACTCGTTGTGCATACTCCTCCCCACTCCGTCCCACCACCATACCCCTCCTCTCCTCCTCTCGCCCATCTCCCCCCACAGGTGTTTGTGTTCCGGGACTACCTGCGTGACACGCTGGCGCTGAGGTGGCGGGCGTGGATGACAACGGATCTGCTCAACAAGTACTTCCAGCACCGCACCTTCTACAACATCCAGTCGCAGGTATCATGTGGCTACAATTAAATTTAGCTACACTAACGTATGTGATTATTGTCCGGAACACGTACTTACAGTCCAGCACCGCACCTGACTTCTACGACATCCAGTCGCAGTCAGGGTGCACCCCTTCTATCATGTGGTTATATTCAGACCTGTCACATCACACTCACATTGGGTAAGATTCAGGAACAAGCACTTGAATCCAGCCACCACGTCTTGAACAACATCCAGTAGTGAATGGGTATGATCACTGATGGACACAATCGTCGCTGGTTACAGTCACAGCTGGTTACAGTCACAGCTGGTTACAGTCACAGCTGGTTACAGTCACAACTGGTTACACTTCAGGCCTCTTGATTCGGGTGGCATTTTGTTCCTACCCTCCCTGCAGTGCCTCGATCCTTTTTTTCTCCTCTATACCTCTCCGTTCTCACTCTCCTCCCCTACCTCCCTTCCCCCCTCCCCCCGCTTACCCGCCTCCGTCTCTCTCTCTCTCTCGTCACCCATAGTCCGTGATAGACAACCCAGACCAGACCAGAGCATCAACGAGGACGTTGACGAATTCACCACCACCTTGCTCACCTTCTCCCTCTACTCCCTGTACCCCCCTCCTCTACGCTCTTTGCCCACAGTCCCTAATAGCAACCCGGGTCAGCAAATCAACGAGGACGTGAACGATCTCACCACCGCCTCACTCACTTCTGTCTTTTCCTGCGTCCCTCTCCACTTCATCCCCCCTTCGCCCACTCCCCTCCCTGTCCCCAGTCGCTCATAGACAACCCTAACCAGTGCATCAACGCGGGCGTGGACGACTTCACAACCACGTCACTCACCTTCTCCCTCGCCCATTCCTACCATTCCCCATTTTGTCACTCTCCCCGGTTTCAACTTGTCTCCCAGTCGCTCATAGACTACCCAGATCAGCAAATCAACGACGATGTTGACGACTTCACCACCACCCCCCCCGCCTTCTCCACCTCACCTTCGCTTCTTTCCTCTGCACACCCCTTTGTCCCCAGTCCTTAATAGACAACCCAGATCAGCGAATCAACGATGATGTTGACGACTTCACCACCACCCCCCCTGCCTTCTCCACCTCACCTTCGCTTCTTTCCTCTGCACACCCCTTTGTCCCCAGTCCTTAATAGACAACCCAGATCAGCGAATCAACGATGATGTTGACGACTTCACCACCACGTCGCTCACCTTCTCCCTCGCGCTCGTCAACGCCATCGTGGATCTCATCTCCTTCTCCGGCATCCTCTACTCCATCTACCCGCCGCTCTTCGCCGTGCTGCTCGCCTATTCTCTAGGAGGGACAGCCATCAGCGTGTATTTAGGCAGGGTGAGTGAGTACCACTGGGTGGGTACTGATAGGTGTGCTCGTCAATGCATTGGTGGATCTCATCTCCTTCTCCGGCATGCTCTACTCCATCTACCCGCCGCTCTTCGCCGTGCTGCTGGCGTATTCCCTTGGAGGCACAGCCATCAGTGTCTATCTGGGCAGGGTGAGTGCTGCTGTTAGGGCGGTGATGGGGGTGTGTACCGGGATGGATAGAACGCGCTGGTGGATCTCATCTCCTTCTCCGACATGCTCTACTCCATCTACTCGCGCTCTTCGCTGTTCTACTGGCGTATTCTCTTGGAGGAACGGCCATTAGTGTGTACCTGGGCAGGGTGAGTGGTAGAACACCAAGGCAGGCTGCTCGTAAACGCAGTGGTGAATCTCATCTCCTTCTCCGGCATCCTCTGCTCCGTCTTGCTTTGCTCCATCTTGCTCTGCTCCATCTTGCTCAGGGACTCAGCTTCCTTCAGGAGAAGGAGGCGGATCCTTTGTTGCCTAGACCACGCCCCTAATGACCGTCCTCTCCTCCGCTATGCCCATCCTCGCCCTCGGGAGCTAGTGGGCTCAACTTCCTGCAGGACGAGGATAAGGACGCGGACTTACGGTACGGGCTGGTGCGCGCACGGGAGAATGTGAAGAGAGCATTGCATTCTAACCCTCCCTCACCTACCCCATCCACCCCTCCCTCCTCTCCCTTCCACCCCTCCTTTCACCCTGTCTCTCCTCCCCCTGTTCCCCCTTCACACACACAGGAGCTAGTGGCGCTCAATTTCCTGCAGGAGAAGAAGGAGCTGGACTACTCTGCCTCTTGGAACACGCACATTTTGATCCTGCCTCTGCTCTCCCTGCCAACCCTCCTCTCCTGTCTTCGCCCACAGGAGCTAGTGGCGCTCAACTTCCTGCAGGAGAAGAAGGAGGCGGACTTCCGGTACGGGCTGGTGCGAGCACGGGAGAACGCCGAGAGCATCGCCTTTTACGGCGGGGAGCGCAGCGAGACGCGCCTGCTGCTGCAGCGCTTCCGCCAGTCCTTTGCCAACTACTCTGTGAGTGAGCGGATAGGCGTGCTTGCTGTGGCTGTTAAGTGCGTGCAAGGGCATGCCCTGAATCGACTCATGACGCGCCTGCTGCTGCAGCTCTTCCGCCAGTCCTTTGCCAACTACTCTGTGAGTGCGCTCATACATGCGTGTTCACATGTTCATGTGTGTGCCTGTAGGTGCATGATGCTTGCGGTGGTTGTAAGCCATGGAAGGGCATTGAACAAAATGCCAGCTGCTGAAGGAGTGAGACGCACCTATTGCTGCAACGCTTCGGCCAGTCATTTGCCAACTACACTGCACGTGCGCTCATGCATGCGTGCAGTGGCTCATTGATGCGTGCAGTGGCTCATTGATGCGTGCAGTGGCTCATTGATGCGTGCAGTGGCTCATTGATGCGTGCAGTGGCTCATTGATGCGTGCAGTGGCTCATTGATGCGTGCAGTGGCTCATTGATGCGTGCAGTGGCTCATTGATGCGTGCAGTGGCTCATTGATGCGTGCAGTGGCTCATTGATGCGTGCAGTGGCTCATTGATGCGTGCAGTGGCTCATTGATGCGTGCAGTGGCTCATGCAGTGGCACAGCACGTACCAGCCACATGCAATGAGCTCATTGATGTGTTCAGTGGCTGCTATGTGCGTGGAACGGCGTGACTGAGCTGTCTCAGAACACGCTTGCTGCTACGCAACGCTTCCGACATTTCTCGCGTGTGTGCTGTGGTTGGTTGGTGCGCCCTGTGGGTGTGCAGTGGCCGTTAAGCATGGACGGCCATTAGACTATTCTGAGCTGATGATGCTTCCTTTATCCCCCCCACCCCTTTTCCCTCCTGCTCCACCCTCTTCCGTTCCCCCTCTCCCCTCCGCGAGTCTACGGCATCGGACGTTTGCAAGTTATCGTCCTGAGCCATCTTTGCAAGTTCTTGAGCTCGGATTGTTGAGATCTAAGTTTTACAGAAGGATTTTACTGTCTTTCTTTTGCTTTAAGCCTAAGTAGGTTTGCTGCTCGCTGAGAATGTCACAAGACCAGTCTACGGCATCGGACGCTTGCAAGTTATCGCCCTGAGCCATCTTTGCTTCTCATCCCGCTCCTCTCATCCCCTCTCACCCCTACGGCATCATCTAGTGGTAGAGCGCAACCTCGGTTTCTTCACCAGCAGCTACCGCTACCTCATCCAGCCGCTGCCAGCTCACCACCTAACCAGCATGTCTCCTTCCCCCCCCCCCCTCCCCCCCGCCCCCCCCCGTCCCCGTTCTCCCCCTCACAGCGGCTGCTGGTAGTCGGTCGCAACCTCGATTTCTTCACCAGCAACTACCGCTATCTCATCCAGCTGCTGCCAGCAGCCGTGGTGGCGCCACTCTACTTCCGTGGGGAGATTGAGTTCGGCGTGATCAACCAGTCCTTCTCTGCCTTCAACCACGTTCTCGGGGACTTTTCCATCATCGTCTTTCAGTTCCAAGCGCTCTCACAGTTCTCTGCCACTGTGGAACGGCTGGGTACGTGACCTGTGACGAGCATGCTCCACACTGTATATAGAACGTGCTTGTAACGGGAGAGGGAGATTGAGTTTGGCGTGAGCAATCAGTCCTTCTCCGCCTTCGGCCACGTGCTTGGAGGATTTCACATCATCGTCTTCCTCTTCCAAGCTCTCTTGCAGTTCTCCGCTATTGTGGAATGGCTATGTATGTGACTTGACACGTGTCTGTTGAGGTGAGGTGCCTGGGAGGAGGGAGTGAGTTCAGCGTGAGCAACCAGTCATTCCCCGCCTTCAACCACACCCTCAGGGACCTAATCTTCCTGTTTTAAACGCTCTCACAGCTCTCTGCTATTGTTTGAAAAGCCGAGTACGTCTTGTGTGATTCCTGCACTGCACTGAAAGTCATGCATCTGTAAGGGGAGATAGTGTGGCCCACTAGTAAGTGGCTGGCAACCCCCTGTCTGACCTCACTGGCTGTCGCTGTGTGTAAATGTGGTGAATACCACTCGCACAGTTCGAGGCCCACATGTGGCTGTCGCACGGTTCGAGAGCGCTGGGTTTTGAGAGCTCTCTCGGTGCTGTGCTGTGCTGTGCTGTGTGACATGTGACGAGGTGGGTGGGGTCAAGTGGATGGGGAAGGAGGGGCGCATGTGGAGCAGTCGCAAAGATGATCTGACCCGGAAGACATGCTGCTGGCCGTTTGACTGGTGGAAGGACCATGCCCCGCATGTGCATGCGTGCGCAAGCAATCTCATTCCGCCTCATTCATGGCCGGCAGTAATTGTCTCCTCGCTCCATGATGGATCCATAGTTTTCAATCTGAATGCCCCTCCATTCACTCACTCGCTTCAGTCACTCTCTCTAGTGGCGTCACACTTAGCTTTTCCTTTGCTCATTGCTCTCGAACTCTTAATTCTTACTTCCCACTCCCACACTTCGCCTGACATGCTGTCAGAGCCATAGACTTAATCGGCTGCTCAAGTTGAGCTGCTCTTGGGAATTCCCAAAAACGTCCCTCTTACACAGAACGTTAAGCTTTTCTTCTGTCAGTCTTGCGTACTCACCAAATGTCCCCTCAGTTTCTCAGTGTCTCGGCCTCACTCTCAGCTTCTTGTTAGCTCACCAAGGCGCTTCCCTCCCCTTTCCCCTCTATTTTTTTCTTCCCCACTCACCCCCTGACTGCATGTTAAAGCACGCACATGTGGTTCTTCCTCCGCTCTCACTATCTCCTCACACTTTCCCCCCCTCTCTCTGCTCGCCCCTGGATGACCAGATCAAGCCAGCCGTGCTACCAACTGCCTCTACTTCGTCCTAAACTCTCTTCCTCCCCTCTTACTTTCCTTGTTTACTCTTCCCCACTCTCACTCTTCCCTCTCCCTCACCTCTCCCCCTCTCCCCCCTGGCGAGTTTCAAAAGGTGCTGGATGGCCAGACAGAGCAAGCCAGCCGCGCTCCCACCTGCCTCTGCCTCTCTCTCCCCCCCTGCCTTCGCTCCCCTTCCCCTCTCCTCTTCCCATCGTTTCCCTCTCCCTCTCCCCACTCCCTCTCCCCACTCCCTCTCCCTTCTCCCCCCAGGCGAGTTTCAGGAGGTGCTGGATGACCAGAGCAAGCCAGCCGCGTTGCCAGCCTCCTCTGCTGCTTCTCCTGCGCCAACTGCTGGCACCGCGGACTCACAGTCACCTGCGACGGATTCTGCAGCACCCGTGGCTGCAGGCGGGAAGTTGGTGGTGAGCAGCAAGGGGGAGAAGCTGGAGGGAAGGCCGCAGGCAACAGCAGCTGAGGCAGCGGCGGAGCACCTAGCGTCGCTGTTCAACAGCTTCATCACCATTGAAAACGTCATTCTCCCGGCTTCTTCTCCCTTTCTCCCCCCCGCCCTGCTGCCTGCCTCTGCCTCTTCCTCCTCCTCCTCCGCCTCCCCCCGTGTGCTGCTGGAGGTGGACGCACTCACTCTCTGCACGCCACAGTACGCCTCGTGCCTGCTGTCTGGCCTTTCACTCTCCGTGAAGCAAGGGGAACACCTGTTGGTGAGTGGTGCGAGGGGATGGGGACACCTGGTGAGTGCAGCGAGGAGAATACTGCTGGTGAGTGCAGCATGGAGAATACTGCTGGTGAGTGCAGCGAGGAGAATACTGCTGGTGAGTGCAGCGAGGAGAATACTGCTGGTGAGTGCAGCGAGGAGAATACTGCTGGTGAGTGCAGCGAGGAGAATACTGCTGGTGAGTGCAGCATGGAGAATACTGCTGGTGAGTGCAGCGAGGAGAATACTGCTGGTGAGTGCAGCGAGGAGAATACTGCTGGTGAGTGCAGAGAGGGGGGCATTGTGTGTTGCAGGAGGTGGACGCACTCACTCTCTGCACGCCACAGTACCCCTCGTGCCTTCCCTCCCACCACTCTCTGCGTCAAGCAAGGGGAGTGATGTGAGGGGAGCAGCTGTTGATGCTTACTTCCCCCCCTTGCGCGATACCATCTCTGCATGCGATTCCTGCCATTTGGGAGTTCACCCAGTTCAACTTCAGTTCAACTCTGTCGGCTCGGCACCCCTCAGTTCAACTTCAGTTCAACTCTGTCGGCTCGGCACCCCTCAGTTCAACTTCAGTTCAACTCTGTCAGCACCCCTCAGTTCAATTTCAAGGCTGCCTCCATTCTACCTATTGGCAACTTGCAAGATCCATCTATTCTGTTTCATCCCCACCCACCCTTCCGCAGACCTCCTGTTTCCCCCTTCTCCCCACCAATCCAAACCCTCTCTCCTTTCCCCGCTTCCACCCGATAATGGGTCCCAGTGGCAGCGACAAGACATCTCTGCTCCTCTTTCCTCCACCCCTTTCCCTGCCACCTATGCCCTCTTCTCACGCCATCTTTTCTCCCCACCCCAGATTATAGTGGCCGGACTCTTATTACCCGTCCTCATCCCCTGCCGCTTCCTCTTCCCCTCTGCGCCTTCCCCTTCTCCCTCATCCTTCCTCCCCCCAACCCTTACCCAGATAATGAGTCCCAGTAACAGTGGCAGGACTTGTCTGCTCTTTTTCGTTCCAGTGTCCATTATTCAAACCTGGTCTAGTTTTTGAGTCGAGTCAAAAATCGCCTCATCACAGTGGCAGGACTTGTCTGCTCGTCTTCGTTCCAGTGTCCATTATTCAAACCTGGTCTAGCTGAACAGTGGCTTATTTTCCCCTACGCCCTTCCCCTTCCAACCCTTTTTTTGCCTCCCCACCTTACCCAAGATCGTGCATTTCAATAGTACTGGTAGGACTGTTGGGGGACCTCTATGCTTCTCCTCACTCCCCCACTCCCCCAACTCCTGCCCTTCCCCCCCATCGTGCTCTCTCCTACCCCAGACCATGGGTCCCAGCGGCAGTGGCAAGACCTCTCTGCTTCTCCTCATCCCGCCACCCCGTTTCCTGCCCCGCACCACCCTCCTCTCCCCTCTCCTTTCCTTCCCCCCACGCCAGATCATGGGTCCCAGCGAATGAACAAGTGTTTTGAGCCGTCTCAAAACGCCGCACCACCCTCCTCTCCCCCCCTGCCCTCCCGCCCATCCCAGATCATGGGTCCCAGCGGCAGTGGCAAGACCTCTCTGCTTCGAGCCGTTGCCGGGCTCTGGCGATCGGGCAGCGGAACGGTCAGAAGATATGTTTACCTGCCTGAGGGATCAGCAGCGTCAACAGAAAGCAAAGCAGCCCCCCCTAGCAGCAACACGCATAGTAATACGAGCGCTGTGATTAATGACAGTGCCCATTCAAAGAATGACTATAACGAGAATGATGGAGAAGGGAGTGGGAGTGGAGCGAGGGGCAAGACAGAGGAGGCAGAGGGGCAAAAGAGTGAGGGGGAAGTGAGTGTGGAGAGGCGTGAGAGTGAGAGTGAAGCGAGTGTGAGCGTGAGTGTGGAGGGCGCGAGCGTGGTGAAAGCAGAGGGTGCAGTGGCTGACGTGGAGGATGGGGTGATGGACGCAGGAGGGGCGGTGTTCTTTGTCCCGCAGCGGCCGTACATGGTGCTGGGGTCGCTCAGGCAGCAGCTGTTGTACCCCACGTGGAGTGAGCTGGAGGAGGGGGAAGGGACAGGGCGGGCGGATGATGGGAGGGTAGTAGTGGCGCAGAGGGAGGGGGGCGAGGGGAGCGAGGGGAAGGAGGAGAGGGAGGGGAGTATGGAGGGGTGGTGGACGGTGGGTGGGTTGATGCAGCGGTTGGGGATCAAGAAGGACGCAGACAATGGAGGGACAGGTGAGAGGCAAGGAACATGCGTAGGCTGGTTTCTCTGTCTCTTGCTTAGCCTGCTCGCCTCACACACTTTGCACGTTTGTCCTGCTTTGAGTCGACTCAAAACTCGACTCATCACACACGAGGGCAAGAAACATGCGTAGGCTGGTTTCTCTGTCTCTCGCTTTGCCTGCTCGCTTCACACTCGTGGCACAGCTGTCCTGCCTCCATATTCCCTTTTGACCTTTGATTAGACTCTGACTTTTGAGTCGACTCAAAAGTCAACTCACTCATGGCACAACTTTCCTGCCTCCATATTCCCTTTTGACCTTTGAGTAGACTCTGACGTTTGAGTCGACTCAAAAGTCAACTCACTCGTGGCACAACTGTCCTGCCTCCATATTCCCTTTTGACCTTTGAGTAGACTCTGACTTTTGAGTCGACTCAAAAGTCAACTCACTCTCGGCACAGCTGTCCTGCCTCCATATTCCCTTTTGACCTTTGAGTAGACTCTAAATTCCAACATGCGTAGGTTGGTGTCTCTGTCTCTTGCTCTGTCTGCTTGCCTCACACACTCGGCACGATTTTCCTGCCTTCGGATCCCCTTTCCCTTGTGATCTCTACTCTTCTCAGTAACTGTACTTTGCGTCCTCATGACAATACATGACAAATTCTCATCCTTCCCTCTTCTCCCCCCTCAACACCCCACCCTTCCCCCACAGCTGGATTCCCTCCCACCTCCATTTCCACTCTCGCCTCATCACCCCACAACATGGCGCACCGCTGGAAGTCTGAAACGTCTCACCTCTGCTTTTCTGCTTCCCTTCCATCTGTTTCCTGCCCCTCTGTCTCCCTCCCTCTCTCATCTCCCACCAGCCGGATTCCCCCCCACCTCCATTTCCACCCTCGCCTCATCACCCCACAACATGGCGCACCGCCCTCAGCCGTCGGATGAGGAGCTCCTGGCAGTGCTGGACGGCGTGAGATTGCGCCACGTGGCGGAGCGCCAGGGGGGCCTAGACGCGCAGGTGGAGTGGGCGAGTGTGCTGTCGCTGGGCGAGCAGCAGCGCCTCGCCTTCGCCCGCCTGCTGCTCTCCAGACCGGAACTTGCTCTCATGGACGAATCCACGAGTGCCCTGGATGAAGAAAACGAGGTGAGGGGGGTAAGGTTACCAAGTGCAGCAGTTTGCCAAGCCGATCGAATCACCAAACGTGCAGGAGAGCGAAGAAGGAGGGTGGGTGGGGTTGGCTAGAGACGCGCAGGTGGAGTGGGCGAGTGTGCTGTCGCTGGGCAAGCAGCAGCGCCTTGTCTTTTCCGCCCGCTGCTCTCCCACCCGGAACTTGCTCTCATGGACGAATCTACCAGCGCCTTGGATGAGGAGAATGAGGTGTGAGCGGGTGGAGTAGATTGAAGTGCGGACAAGGTGTGTGTGTGTGTGTGTGTGTGTGTGTGTGTGTGTGTGTGTGTGTGTGTGTGTGTGTGTGTGTGTGTGTGTGTGAGTGTGTGTGTGTGTGTGTGTGCGTTGGTGGAGACGGCAGGAGTCACGTCACGCTCATCAGCATGGGCCTCCGCTGCTCCCACCAGCACTCATGTGTGCATGTGGTGTAAGAAGCCAGCCCAGGAGTACAGACAGCCCACGATCCCAATCCCAATCCCAATCCTGCTCATTTCTCCCCTCCCCTCCCACAGCCGCATGTGTACGGGCTGGTGGAAGCAGCAGGAGTGACTTTTGAGCCGACTCAAAAGTCTCCACGATCCCAATCCTGCTAATTTCTCCCCTCCCACAGGCGCATGTGTACGGGCTGGTGGAAGCAGCAGGAGTGACGTTCATCAGCATCGGCCACCGCAGCTTCCTCCATCTCTCATGTGTGTGTATGGTGGTTTTCATTCTCATACCGTCCCCATCACTTTCTCTCCCCTCCCACAGGCGCATGTGTACGGGCTGGTGGAAGCAGCAGGAGTGACGTTCATCAGCATCGGCCACCGCAGCTTCCTCCATCTCTCATGTGTGTGTATGGTGGTTTTCATTCTCATACCGTCCCCATCTCTTTCTCTCCCCTCCCACAGGCGCATGTGTACGGGCTGGTGGAAGCAGCAGGAGTGACGTTCATCAGCATCGGCCACCGCAGCTTCCTCCATCTCTCATGTGTGTGTATGGTGGTTTTCATTCTCATACCGTCCCCATCTCTTTCTCTCCCCTCCCACAGGCGCATGTGTACGGTCTGGTGGAAGCAGCAGGAGTGACGTTCATCAGCATCGGCCACCACAGCTTCCTCCATCTCTCATGTGTGTGTATGGTGGTTTTCATTCTCATACCTTCCCCATCTCTTTCTCTCCCCTCCCACAGGCGCATGTGTACGGGCTGGTGGAAGCAGCAGGCGTGACGTTCATCAGCATCGGCCACCGCAGCTCCCTGCGCCGCTTCCACTCGCTCCTCCTCACCCTAACACCTGCCGGGAGGGCCGACGCCGCCACTGCTAACGTCACTGATGACATCACGGACAGGAGTGATGGTATCAGCAGTGGGGGAGAGGGTGTGGAAGGGAAGCGGGTGGTGGCACGTGGAACAGGCAGCATGTGGACACTGGAGAGAATAGCAGACTAGACTGACTTATCAGCATCGGCCACCGCAGCTCCCTCCACCGCTTCCACTCGCTCCTCCTCACCCTCACACCCACTAGGAGGGCTCATGCCTCTGCTGACGTCACTCGTGGTGTCGGAGATGACGTCAGGGGCAGCATGAGTGGTGGTGATGAGGGTGAGAGAGGGAGTAGGGTGGTGGCACGTGGAACAGGCAGCATGTGGACACTGGAGAGAAAAGCAGACTAGACTGATTTGTGCGTTGGGGGTCTCAACTGTAACACATGGGATGGGGTGGGGACTTTGGTGAGGATTGGTGGCACTGGTGTGCGGATGGCAGTATTGCTGGTGTGTTTTAGGATACTGATCATTTATTATTCGTTTTGAGCTGCTGATTCTGATGTGTTGGGGTGGTGATGACGGCAATGATCAAGGCCCTAGATAAGCCTAGCTGGCTGCGCCAAAAAAAAGCACAAGCATGGATTCACTCTATTGTGCTCCACAAGCTTTCAGTTGTTGGCACTACTATAATTATGCTCCAAAATTCTGGTCCTGGCTGCGTATGCTATGAAATGATCGACCACCCCAGCTTCCAACCAGATGCGAGGGTGACAGATGATCGACCAGTTTACACCTTATTTGTATGTTCCTATTTTTTTATATGATTAAAACCAAAGAAGCATGTGGTAAAGAAATGAGAAATGTTTTTATTTAGGCAATGTTATAAGCAGTAGGTTAAAAGGAATGAAATATGAAAGGATACTAAAGATAGTTGACAGAATGGCTTAAACAAGTGAGGGCCTACTCAAAATAAGGAGGAAACCTTGCTAGTCGGGAATGTCGGAAATGGAGGTTCGGCACAGGTTTGGTAGCGTCAAGACGAAAGCCAAACGAGGTAGGCTTGGAAGGCGAGGGCTTCGCGGGGACCTCCCATCCCAACCAAGACTCCTCTCGCTTCCCTGGCGCAGCCTCGCGAAATTCGCGGGAGCACACAAGTAACACGACCTGACGGCGTCCCTCAACATGTACAGTACAATGACACCCACGCAGAGCCATACAAGAACAGCCTGACGGCGTCTTTCTTATCCAACTTACCGGCATGGCATGGCATGGCACCACAGTCCCCCCCCTTCCCCCTTCTCCGCCGGCATGGCATCCCGTGGCATGGAATCCGCGGGAGCACACTGGCCCCACAGTCTGACGGCGCCTTTCTTATCCTACTTATTGAACCGTACAGGAACACACTAGACGTCACTTACTTTCTTATCCAACTTACGGCACCTCGGCATGGCAATCCGGCCCTGCACAACCAGATGTCCGAACACGCCACGCTGGATTTGCGCAGCCGGACCGGCTGCGTCCTGACGGAGCCCTCGCGCCGCACCTTGGAGCATGACGTGCTGCCGCTATATTTAATGCGGCAACGCTGGTTTCCGCACACCCAGCCGCCGCTATCGGCGCGCCTTGTTTACACTACGCCACTTTCCCCCGACGGCGAAGACAAATGCTTTATTGCCGAAGTGGAAATACCGGCCGGCGATGGCCAGCCGCAGCGCCTGTTCGTCCCCGTCGCGCTAATTTGGAGCGAGGAGGCCGTGCCGCCCATTGTTCCGAGTCACCAGCACACCTTGGCGCGAATCCGCCGGAGCGCCGAGGCAGGCCTAGGCCTGCTCGCCGACGCTTTTGCCGTCCCGGCTTTTGCGCACGCGATCATCCAGGCGCTCCGCGAAGACCGGGAAATCGCCATCGCGCCGGCCGGCCGGGAGGGGGTGCTGCGTTTCCGCGGCGAGGCGGGGTTGGCGGCAGTGGATCTACCGGCCGATGCTCCCGTGAAGTGGTTCGCGGGCGATCAGTCTAACAGCTCGCTCAGCGTGGGCGATGGGACTAACGGCGGCAAGGTCATGCTTAAGCTAGTGCGACGGTTAAATCCCGGCGTGAATCCCGAGGCCGAGATGACCCGCAGGCTAACCCAGCTGGAGTTCGCTAATTCGCCCGCGTTACTGGGCGAAGTGATTCGCGAAGAGAGCGACGGCACGTGTTACACATTGGCGCTGGTCCATCGGCACATAGCGAACGACGGCGACGCCTGGTCTTGGACCCTGGACTATCTCAAACGGACGCTGGATAACGCTACACGGCTTACCGGCGCCTCTGGCGCGTCACTGGAAGAATACGATGCGGAACTAGCTGGTTACGCCGCCATGGCCAGTACCATTGGCAGGCGGCTGGCGGAGCTGCATAGCGCGCTCGCCGCGCCTGCTGACGATCCAGCCTTCAGCCCCGAGCGCGCCGATTCTGCCCAAGCCCAGCAGCATGCGGCGCAGGCTATCGCAACGCTGCACGACGCGCTCCGGGTTTTGGCCGAGCACCGCCGCGGCAGCGGCGGCAAACTTGACGGCCGCACGCTCGCTGCCGCCTACGCTGACGCCGACGCCGACGCCGAATGGCTGGAAAACCACGTCGAACCGTTGACGCAAGCGATACGCGAGCGCGCGTGCCTGGAGCAAGATTCGCTGTACCTGCGTATTCACGGTGACCTCCATCTGGGGCAGGTTTTGGTCGCGCGCAGCACCGACTCTTGCACCCACATCGACGACGCTTGCCTCGTTGATTTCGAAGGCGAGCCGGCCCGTCCGTTTGCCGAGCGGCGCACCAAGACCACCCCCTTACGCGACGTGGCGGGGCTGCTGCGCTCATTCGATTACGCCGCTGCCGTGCTGAGCCCACGAGGTCCGTTGGGGTCTGCTCTGCTCACCGCTTGCGCCACCGAGACGTTGGGGATCGTGAATAAGCCTATGGTCTTGGAACCAGCGCCTCAGCTGCACGCCTCACCTATTTTTGAGACGTCTCAAAAGTCGGGTCCGCTCACCGGCCCTGCTTGCACCACCGAGACGTTCGGGATCATGAAGAAGCCTATGGTCTCGGAACCTGCGCCTCAGCTACGCGCCCCACCTGAACCGGCGCCGCCTCAGCTACTACGCCGGGAAGCCTTGCTCTCGCGCTTTATTCAGCGTGCGCGCAGTGCGTTTATGCAGGGGTACCATGCGGTGGCCCACCAGGCGCCCCACCCGTGGCTCAAGCCAGGCGCGGAGCAGAGCCTGCTGGAACTGGCGTTGCTCGAAAGAGCGGCCTATGAAGTTTGCTACGAAGCCGCGCACCGCCCTGATTGGCTGTGTATTCCAGCCGCCAGCCTGGCGGAACTAGCGCGCGGCATACTGGCCTCGCCGTCGAGCGAGAAGGAGGCGCACGAATCATAAGCGCGCCCTCGCGCCCCAAAGACGCTCCAGCTCCCCCCTGCACCCGCCGTCACGCCAGCCAACCCGGCCGGCCTCTACAGGGCGGTCGGTCCGGTCTGGTCCTTCCCCGGCGCGCCGGCGCCCGGTCGGCGCCATTGAGCAGTTGTTGGCGGGCAGGCAAGCAAGCAAGCATCCAGATCCCTTTTCTGTATTACCGGCCAACACGACACGAGCACGACGGCCGAATTCGCCGATGGCCGCACGGCAGTGACGGCAAGCATTTGGATGCCACTGTTTTCAAATGCAGTGGGGAGTGCATGGTTGTATAGCCTTGGGTTTTTTTTCAACAAAATCCAGTAGCAAGCAATGGCTTACTCACCAGATTGACGACTGCCAGAATGTTTAATGACAGCAAAAATTTGGGCCTATTCTTCTGATATGATCTACTGTTGACTGCCTACTGTGGAGTGTGACTGTATGTAGTGCTTCAGTTCTTTTCGGTCGTGATTCATGAAACGGAAATTAACTAACCAGTTTAAAAGAGCTGCTGTTACAAATGATGCACATTGATCCGAAACAGCCTCACAGAATGGTCATCTGAGCAGCTTGCCAACTCCAAACACCTCCCTCCCCCCACCTCTTCTGCACCTACCGGTACCTCCCTGTTACACCCAGTAACCCTAACCTCTCCTGCGCCTCTATCCCTCGATCCAACTTCCCCTCGCCACCTCAGCCTATGAACAGCTGCCAGGTGGCAATGGATGTCACTAAAAGCCACCAGACGCTGCAGCTGCAGCTTGGGTGGAGAAGGTGAGGGGTGGAGTGCGGTGGAAGTGGGTGAAGCAAAGGGGGAAAGGTCTGCGCTCCACAGCTGTATCACCCCATTCTCTAAGCCAACAGCAAGGAGCGAGCGTAGTGCAGCAGAGGCAGGAGCAGAAACAGGATCAGCAGGTGGGTTGGTTGTGGAGGGTTGTGGATGAGGAGGGGGAGGAGGGAGGGGTGGAAGGTAAGTGGACCAGGCCACAGCCGTGACTGGGTGGGGGAAGGTGGGAAGGGTTGCGAGGAGCATGGTGGTGTGGGAGGAGGGAGGGGAGGTGGTGGAGGGAGTGGTGGAGGGTGGCTGTTCAATGACTTGCCACACCTTCACCTGCATTGTGAGAAGGGGGGGGGGCGGGGGGGTGGGTGGGGGTTTGTGGGGAGAGAGTGGGAATGTTGAGAGTACAAGAGATGGTTTGATGATGTGTTGGCATGACTCATTGCACCTTGGCCTGGTGCATGAAAAGTGCATGTTGGCAGGCAGCCGAAGCATAATTGTGACATCATGCCGCGTCAAACGTCCATTCAAGCAGTCAACCTCAAGGCGCGACAGGCAGAGTAACTAGTTTACTCAAAACATCACCTCCGCTCCGGCGATTGTCACATGTAACTTCCACTCAAGCAGTCAACCATAGAGCGCGACATTCAGTGACATCAGCATGCATCAGCAGGCCTGTGATGTGGCACATGCACCAGCAGGCATGTGATGTGGCACATGAGAGGGGGCTGAAACGAAGGGCGATCATCCCACTCCTCCAGCTCCGATTCATTCCACATCCCCCCCAGTTCAACGCTCTAGCGCATGCGCAGGGCAACGATGCGCAGGGCAACTGTGCGCAGGCCTCTTTGAGACGAATGAGCAGTGATGGGTTCTCACCGTCTTGTCTCTTGACCCCGTGGCAAAGATGCGGCCTGAGGGCGCCCAGGAGCACGCCCAGATGATTCGCTTGTGTGCCTCCACCCTCGCAACGAG